CAAGCCAGCTTCAGGCCAACGGAATCAAAGTGATCCAAGAGCTTCCGGGCGTTGGTCAGGGAATGCAAGGTAAGGATATTTTTCGCCTAACGCCGACAGCTTCCTGCTAATCCGAGTTCTAGACCATGTCTTCTTTGGCCCATCTTACCGCGTCAAGGTTGAGACTTTCACACGCTTGGCAAATGATTTACTTTACGTCCTGGGGCAATTTATCGGTCCCTACTCTATCCAAAAGCAAGGTCCTCTCACCAACCCTGTCTGTGACTATTTGGGATGGGAGAAAGTACCTCAGGAACTGCGGGAGAAGTTCCCGGATTCGGTATTGGAAGACTTGTCTAACTTCCCGAACGACTGGCCAGAACTTGAGTATCTGAGCGCACCAGGCTAGTACGTATTCACAATTGTATGTGCCTTCTTTGTTGCGTAGATTCTAACCAGTACCCTTGAACAGCATCGGAAATTTCGGCTCTCTCTTCAGGGACCAGCCAAAAGATGGATTTCAATACGCATCTATCCTCGCCGCTCTCGTCGCTCCTCTATCTCGTGGCAATGTAACAATCATCAGTTCTGATACCTTGATAAAACCTCTCATCAATCCAAACTGGCTCACGTCTCCCACGGACCAAGCAGTAGCGATCGCAGGCTACAAACGCGTGCGACAGGCTTTCGCGTCCAACTTCATGAAGGGCGTTGTCATTGGGGACGAATACTTCCCTGGCAAGGCTGTGCAGACTGATGCTCAGATTCTCGACACGATACGCAAAACGGTCCACACTGTTTGGCACGCCAGCTGCACGTGTCGCATGGGTAAGAGCGACGACAACATGGCCGTGGTTGACAGCCGTGCTAGAGTTTTCGGTGTGACTGGGCTGCGCGTGGTTGATGCATCTTCTTTTGCGATTCTGCCTCCAGGTCACCCACAGTCGACAGTTTACGCTTTGGCCGAGAAGATTGCGGCAGACATCCTCGGTAACGCAAATTGATCAAGCGTATATTTATACTATCTATGAGGAGGACGTGCACATATTGGTGGTCACAAACTTTTCTCAACTTCCATCACTTCCCTGATCCCTTCTTTCACGAGGGCAACTTTCTCTTCACTGAGCCGCTTCAACGGTCGTCTGGGGTACCCACCATATCCATAGTAACTTTGAATGCCGCTCTTGGTACCTGGAATCGCGGTCTTGGTCAGAACCCAGTCGCCTTTGCTGAGAACTTTCTGTAATGCAAGTGCCTCGTCGTATTTTCCTTCCGTCCATAAATTCCACACTTTGACGCAAGTCTTCGGCAGCACATTTGCGCCACCGGCGATGATACCACTTCCTCCGCTCGCGGCTGTCTGAGCCGTGAAATCCGCCATGCCTCCGAAAGCCATGTACCCAGATCCCTCTCCCTTCGTCGTAACGGCGTTGGTGGCAAGCGCTACTCTGGTCAATTTTCCGGTGTTGCCGCAGGTGAACTTGGTGCCGACAATGTTTGGGTGCTTGGCGAGCTTTATCAGTAGATCAGAGTCGATGTCGATTCCCGCGACGGCTCCTGGGTAGTTGTAGATGATGACGGGAAGAGGAGAGCTGTCGGCAACGGTGGTGTAGTACTCGTATATCGCGTCTTCATCGATTGCAGTGCGGTAGTATGACGGTGGCACCAAGAGCGTGTATTCGGCACCTGCTTCATACAGTGTTTTGCATAAAGCGATGGTTCCTCTGATGGAGTTTTCGCTGGCGCCTACCATTACTGGGATGTGGGAGAAGCCAGCTTCGTCCAATGCTGATCTGGTCTCTTTTGTGACGAGGACTTTCTCTTCTGTGCTCAGGTGGACTGCTTCTCCGTTTGAGCCCATGACGACAATTCCAACGAGACCGGCTTCACAGAGGCGGACGACGTGTTTTCGACATGTTGGAATATCCACCTCTTCTGTTTCTGGGTTGAAGAAGGTCATGACTGGCGAGTAGATTCCATGCCGAAGGGGGTTCAGAGGCCGCCTCGCTTGAGCGCCATTGGAACCATTAGCGTGCCCGTTGGTTGCCATCTTGGAAGATGAATGAGACCGAAAGGGTGGGTGAAATCCTTCACGACGAACAATGAGCTTAGATGACTATGGAATGATACGGAGAAAAAGCAAAAGGTCGTGACAGGTGACGAGAAGTCCTGTATGAGATATCCGAAATTAGACGGGCCGGCGTCAACGCCCTTTATTATATAGCACCCAGGAAAGCTACGACATGCTGAGGACATGTTCAAGCCACGGTAGCGGCACTAACCTACTCGCGTCAATTCGACTGCAGCAGGGCGGATGGGATCGATAATCCCACGTTGGTTCGATGAAGCCTTCCCACGCGATCAGTTGACGTTAATAATCGCAAACCGCTCTGGTTCGGTGTCCATTCGCCGGAAGCCTGTGGCATCTCGGTTAGAACTCCGTTTAGACGCCTCTCGAGGACGTGCAGTTGCTGTCCCTGGGTGAATTTCGCCCGAAGATATAGGCACGGCGTGGGAGAGGAAAGGCAGCCGTCGCGGGCGTTTCTGACGTGCGGGTTGGAGATGTCGTCGGGCAGCTCATTTGTTGACTAACGGTGGTAAGGGTTGGGGTCTCGGTTCTTCTTGTGCCTCCATCGGGGGATTTATCCATCAATCACAATTCTGCCGTTGGTAGTGTGGGGAATCCGCGCAACCAGGATATCGACCTTCCACGCAGGCTCTCCCTCCGCACCAATCTCTCCGGGCAAGTCACCTCCGCCGAGACTTACTCTATCTGCGGCTCCCTATGTGAATGCGGCTTCGAGGGCCGTTCTGAAACATCAGCAATGGTCCTTCCAGCTGATACCACCTGTTTCTTCCCTCGCGAACCCTGATCATCGTCCTACGCCTATCTGCTTTCCATCAAACCCTATCATCGGGCGTCTCTGTCGTGCAACCGATCCTTTTGCCCAAGTTCAGTATGGCGCCTATCAATGTGTTGATGGTCTGTCACGTCCTGGAACCATCTGTGACCGACTGCTGACTCTGTGTAGGTTGGGACAGGAGAGTACACGACGGGTTTCGTGGGCACTGGAGGATCGACTTCGGACAAGAAGGTCGGCGTGGTCGGATTGACTCTCTTCGATTTGAGAAGACGAGGCAAGGTTGGGAAGCTTAGCATGGTCGGGACGACCGGAAGCAAATACCCAGCCATCCGTGAACATCTGGAGAAGAACATCAAAAACGTCTATAATGGTCTCGATGTTTCATTCGATGCATATCCCGAGGTCGGCGTTCGAGATCCTGATGCGTACAAAGCCGCCATAGATGCTCTGTCTCCCGGCGATGCCATCACCATATTCACACCCGATCCGACGCATTATCCCATCACGTTGTATGCCATCAAGAAAGGCATCCATGTTTTGGTGACCAAACCAGCTTTCATGTCGCTGGCCCATCACCAAGAGATCATGTCTGAGGCGAGGAAAAACAATGTGTTTGTATACGTGGAGCACCACAAGCGTTTTGATCCAACGTACGCTGATGCTCGCCACCGGGCTACGTCTGGCAAACTTGGCGATTTCAACTACTTCTACTCGTACATGTCGCAGCCAAAGTCTCAGCTCGAGACCTTCAAGGCTTGGGCAGGCAAAGATTCTGACATCTCCTACTACCTGAATTCCCATCACGTTGACGTATGTGAATCCATGGCACCTGATTTTCAGCCTGTGAAGGTCACAGCTAGTGCAGCAAAAGGTATCGCCACGGATCTTGGTTGTGTCCCTGAGACGGAAGATACCATCACCTTGCTCGTTGACTGGGTCAAGAAGGATGGGTCCGGAAAGCGGGCTACTGGCGTCTATACTGCCAGTTGGACCGCTCCCCAAAAAGCAGGCGTGCACAGCAACCAGTATTTCCATTTCATGGGCAGCAAGGGCGAGGTTCGCATCAATCAAGCGAAGAGAGGTTACGACGTTACCGAAGACGAGTCTGGTGGACTTGCGTGGTACAATCCGTGAGTCTTTCGAGTGGATTGCTCAAGAATGGATCGCTAACATCGCCTGTAGTTTCTACATGAGGTATGCACCAGATGAGTTGGGAAACTTCGGCGGCCAATCTGGGTATGGATACGTCTCTTTTGAGAAATTCATCGATGCCATAGCAGATTTCAAGGACGGCAAGGTAACTCTCGATGCGCTCGATTCTAGACCCCTCCCCACGCTCAAGAATACGATTGCCACTTGCGCGATCTTGGAGGCTGGTAGGAAATCGCTAGATGAGAATCGCCCTGTCGAGATTGTGGAGCAGAACGGTGCTTGGAGTTTGAAGTAGAAATCATCAACTAGAGATGATATGAAGTTCACGAAATAAAAGCCTGCTTACTTTCTCTCGAACCAACAGCATAAGAATAGGCCGTCTCAACTAACTTGTGTCTTGCAACAACTGTTCCTCGACCCATTCTACTTTCTGAAATCACAATTTAATCTCCGAGCAAACCATCGTCACAATCCTTGTCCTCTCATAGCCTATTCGCCAACTATCCACGTTCCATGAACCTGGACACACAACAGCCTTTCATTTCAGAATGATCTATGAGGCTTTCCAATCCGAGATCGATCATAATTAAATGCTGGCAATCGTCAAAAAGCAAATCGTTGACCGATATTGACCCGACGTCTTGGATCATGCACCCACTCGAGCCGTATCTTAATATCAAAGGGTAACTAATGAAGACTAGCGATTACGACGCTTGTCCCGAGACCTTTTGACCGCGGTCACGGCTCAGATTCCAAGTGTTTTCCTGCCTCCAGGGACTATGATCTTGTATTGGATTCTCCTTAGCTTAAGATGCATATTGATAGCTTTCTGGCAACCTCCACAACCTATCTCACCGGAATTTCATCGATGTCTATTTGGATTGCGGAAGATTACCGGTTGAGAGTCCCTTTGAGCGGCATTGGATGGAACCACGCTAGATCGTGTTCATTGCTACGTGCGTGCTATATATTTTTATGTTGCAGAATATGTCGCTCAAGATGAACGACCGTGTAGCTCAGTTGGTTAGAGCGTGGTGCTAATAGTTCCGTTGGAAGATAACGCCAAGGCCGCGAGTTCGACCCTCGTCATGGTCAGATTTCTTTTTTCGCCTGGGCGTTGTGATTCTTTGGGGATGAGTGAGCAGTTATGTTGTGGTGGAGGGAGGTTTGAACGTTTTGCACCTAGAGACGTGGCTGGTGTGTTGCGTGCACGTTCTTTTTGGCGCCACAGGTGACTCCTACGAGTATCATCATTACACATTTCTCCACAGGCGTCGTGAGCCTAATAGTCTCTCCTTCAGCCATTACATTCCAAAGCTTATAACTATGAGTGCTATCTGTCATGTCTCGATCAGGAGGGTCTCAGAAAGACCTCCGTTCGAACGTGCCAAAAATACTTGACACTGCTTCTCTGCCTAATGCTTTGGCTTGGGTGACTGGGCAGAAGAGGCGGCATAGCTACACTTCTGAAGCTGCAGAGAAGCGAGGAAAACAAGACATGTGAACCTGAGATCGATCTGAGCTCTTCTGGCACCGACTGATACATCATAGATCGGAAAACAACCTCGAAAACTCCCCCCTCCTACAGTTACCAGCCGAATTACGCATCCGCATATTTGAGTATGCACTGACTGGAAACACCCTGCACATCGAGCAGTTACCTTGGGGCCATGTGGACAAGTATGAAAAGAAGGACCTCGTATTCGGACAAGGACTGTGGAATGAGATCTGCCATTATCCAGATGAAGAGCGTGATTGCTACTCCTCGTTTCTGGCTGCTTCCATGCTCGACGCGACAAAACCTTTCGGAATGTCACAGGATGGAAGAGATATTGGTACGGGATACCATGTTGAATCTTGGTCGGCTAGACACTCTACTTGTTCTCAGGAGCCGCAATTATTCCAGTTCAACGCCAACTTCGAGCGCTGGCAATCGCGGCAACAACTCAGCCTGTCCCCCCTCCGACTCTGTAGACTCATCTTCCGAGAGTGCTGCCGTCTTCCGTACCTCGGGAACACTTTTCTATTTCGGAATCCAAGCACATTTCAGTCCTTTTGCTCGAGCATCAGGCCAGAGAGCGTACAAGCTTTACAGAAGATCAGTCTTCCAGTGGCCGTAGGGTCAGCGCCCTTTAGTCCAGCCAGATCAAGAGCGTGGGCTAGTACGATCTGGGGCTACGGCTTGGCCGGACACTTTACAAATCTAAAGGAGTTGCGGATCACGTTGGAGTTGTACTTTCCACGAGACATCATGGACAATCGGAAGCCTACATATCTTGATTGCAAAGAAGAAGTCGGTCTATCTGGAGATGGACTGACAGACCGGTATACCAATTGGTTGGAACAGCTTGCACGATTGAGACCAGGGCCTAAGTCTCGCAAGGAATCGTCTCCAATCTCCAACAAGTCAACGTGCGTGCCATCGATCTCACTACAAGCTCAATTGGTAAGGTTTGAAGTCATGGTCTGCGACGATCCTCTCAGCATGTGGGGGCCTGTCGGGCAGATTCAATACTGTCGCGATAATAGAATCCGCGATATCAGTATCTGGCTGAGCGAACGGGAAGCGAAGTGCTTGACTGTGGAACAAAAGCAAAGACTAGCTAAGGAGATTGAGGAAAGACTGGAGGGCGATCTGAAAATCAATGTTTAGTTTGATACTACTCATTGTTAAATAACGAGAACGATGTCGGTTCGGCGAACTTTCTTGAGCGCTCAACAGGAAGCTATTGATCACAAAAACGAGTCAAAGCATCCTTCCGAACGCCAATAACACAGTAGAGTTCGCGATTTCCTGAAAGAGGATCTTTTGAGAGCACCGCTGTGGCGGTAGGAATAGTACCCGCAAGCCCTTTCCCAATATTAGATTACAAGGCATTCGTACTGCTTAACAGCTTATTAGTATCGTAGCCGTCCGTTAGGACATCAGTTTGCATCATGTATATCACCACTGACTGAGCTCTCGACGCACGTTATTTCTGTAAGATCGACCTCACTCGCTTTACATTGATAGATTCGAGGAAAGAAGTGAACGACTAAAGCTTATTATCAATATAATGACATATGTGTATACAAGATCAGTGAGGGACAAAGATCTCTCATGAGAGAACAACGTAATATGAGTATCGCCTCTTAAGTCTGACAATGTCTTTCAAGGTCATGATTTCATATGTGATTTATCTATCGGATTTAGCGTCTTGGCATACAGTAGAGATGGACTTTCATCAATCGTTCGTGCTCTTTTCTCTCCTACACGAGTACAACATCATTTGACCACACATCATGAAATGGCATGCGCCGTTGCGATCTCTGGTGACGACATCGCATCCTGCGTGCTCGATACGTTTCGCAAGCTGCCGGCGAAGAGAAAACCTCGCCAGCGCCCAAATGGCTCGCGAGAATGGGTACCGTTGAGCGGCGTGGTTCTCGCAAAGGGTATCGACTTCGTACTGCATTCAAATTCACTGGATACTGAGCTTCGTCACCAGATGGAGAATCCCTTTTCTGCGCCTCCTTAGGGTAATCGTTAAGCATTTCCAACGACGGGTGTGGAATTGACCACCAATAGGACGGGGATGAAGTGTCTTCCAGCCTCCAAAATACCTCAAGCCCGAGGAACTGTGCTCCACGATTGCCATGCAGAAATCATAGCAGTCCGTGCCTTCAATCGATTTCTCATCTCAGAGTGCGCAAATCTCGCTCAGGACGGTACAGCCGTCTCAAGATGGCTGAGAAGGACAATGACCATCGAGAGGGCGGGAAACCTTCAACAGCCTTTTGTCCTCAAAGATGACGTCCGAATCTATTTCTATTCATCCGAGGCGCCATGTGGAGACGCGTCCATGGAGCTTACCATGCTTGCACAGGAGGACGCGACTCCTTGGGCAAGATTACCACCAGATACTGAGCTGGGAACGGAGTCAAACATTAACCTGCTCAAAGGAAGAGGTTTCTTCTCAGAGCTTGGCATAGTTCGCCGCAAGCCAGGTATTGCTTCACCCTGAGATGAACGTCTATTCTCACTCACTATACTCAGCACGCCCAGATGCACCAGCCACGTTAAGCAAATCCTGCACCGACAAGCTAGCAATGTACCAGTGCACATCACTCATCAGCTCCGCAGCATCGTTGCTCATATCGCCGAAGGGAGCGTATATGAAGATATTTGTACTGCCCGAATCGCAGTACGTGCAGAGAGCTACTGATCGAGCCTTTGGTTGGAAGGGAAGAATGTCTGCAATCAGGCCAGAAGTCATTCAAAATTGGGATGATGTATTCTCATTCCACCCTTTCGTCATGACAACTACCAGTCTAGAATTCGAGTTGTCACGGCGAGGTGGTGAGCCAGACTGTACAATGCTTCCAAGTAACGTCACCGCTGTGTATACGCCTTACTTTCAGGAGACATTGATCGGGGGTGTGTTACAGGGACGCAAGCAACATGATCCAGAGGGAGCCAGTGCCATTTCTCGAAAAGGTACCTGGGATGCTGTGAAGAATGTGCAAGCCATCATGGTGGCCTCAACCACCAGCAACAATCCAGCACCTGCTCGTTACAAAGACCTTAAGGAACTTCCAGAGCTCGAAGGTCGGCGAAGAGTCAAAGATGATGTACGCAATTTTGCTCTCAAAGGATGGATCAGAAATGCGGGAGACGACTCATTTTCATAATGATCTGCGATGTTCTGGAATTCATGCTGATTTATCTGGTACGGTGCTTCACCTTCTGCTCATGGTGAGAGGAAATCAGAGCCGAGTTTAATAGCATTGGTCGTAACTAACATGAAAAACTCTTAACAACATTTATCAATATCGAGGGTCAAGAGAGCAATACATGCCTCATCGCAGACACTCCATCCCAGGTTTTGCGTAGCTGATCTTGAGGAAGAATGTATCGATAAGGCTTAACAACCAATAGTTATGAATGGCCAATGGCACTCAACTTTCGCAAGGGCAGCTCCGTCGGACAACAGATACAAGAAATGGAATCTTCTCTGCTCGGATCCTCGGACATCGGCAAACATCATTGGAATTGATGCATTGTCGTCATGCTTGGAAATCGTGCCACTGATGGCGTTTAGATAGCCACGGCTTACTGATTGGAGCACGATTGAGGCGTCTTTTCAAAGTCCGCCGGGGTTTGAGTCAGGTTGAGAGTCACTTCCCTTCTCGTTGGCTCAATTCACATTCAATTGGCTGCTTATCGACGGAATCTCTAGGTCACTTGCGGGCGAATCTCAGAGACCGCCGACAAAAGGAATCGGCAGATCCAATCTTTGCCACTCCATCCGGTCGCCTGCAAAACGAGCAGTCAAAACAATTCGATAGATCAAACAGATTGAAAAGGAAATCCCTCCACATGTTCTAAGCCAATGAGTGTGTGCTAAACCCGCGATCCTCTGTGCCATCATGAAGTCTTTGGTATACAGGTCTAGAGAACGTGTCAGCATCACAAGGAGATACACCACATCGCATCTCACACATACCAGCCCAGGTTCCTCCACTAGACTATCATTGTTTAATACAGTGCTCGACGATTTCCACCTTTAGTAGATTGCCCGGACCCTTGCTGATCTTTTTACAGCAGATATGCCCTTTTTTGTCTGCACCACAACGGGTCCCCTTTTTGCATTCAACGTCTAATTCAGCATTGCACTTAGAGATTCAGCAGTTAGCTCCGAAGGCGAATTGTGTAACATGTGTACATACCGCAACCCAAAGTGAGTTTGGTATACCCCATTTACACTCCAGGGGTTCCGGGTCGCAACTATAATTTCCATCCCCGAGCGGGTATGTTTGGGCACTGCCAAGGGCGGAGAGGTTGAGAAGAAGGGCGAGGTGAATCAGTTGCATCGTTACTGGTGAAAATCGGTGATGAGGGTTGCAAGTTGAAGTTTGGGCACTTGAGGGCGTTCGGCTTTTCATAGAAGAGTTGGATCCAGGTTGGAACTAATTATAATCTCTACGGTGGCAATCGGGTACGGCGTTCACTCCGCTGCGATATTGCGGTTTCAGAGTTGACGTGGGCAGCACCATGGAAGCCAGCGGAAAGAATGTTAGTATGGTTATCCCTCCGAAGCAATACCATGGAAGCC